CAGGAGAGAAGTGTCCTTCATTCTGCTTCTTGGTGCAATGAGATCAACTTCTTCTTCTTCTTCTGTCCGAGCAGTGAAACCACTTCCTGTTTCGTACGTCCTGCTTTTTTAAATAGATAATATTTAACTAACGTTGAATTGTGAAGCACTTTGAGATGATGCTGTTTTTAAAGTGTGCTTTACAGATAACATGTATTATTATTATGATGGAGTAAGTTAAATGTTAAAGCTAGCACCAGATTCTAACAACAACAACAATACACATAAGGTCTCTCTCTCGCGCCACACATACACACACCCTCCCGGTATCTGCCGGTGAGCGTGGAAGTGTGGTCTGCCGCAAGCGGACGGCAGGGGCGGGGCTGTCAGCATCAGCTTGTAGATGGTATTTTAAACTCGATGCGCTCTGAAACTACGGGGCGGCCGAGGACAAAAAATACACATGCGTTAACCGCATTAAAAGAATTAGTGGCGTTGTTATTAACGCGTTAACTTGACAGTCCTAACATACATACATGTGGGAGTATAAAAGAACCAAGTCAAAACACATGTAAATAAAGATTATTTAAATTCCCGATGGAAATGCGTTTTGTTGAAAAATAAACCAAAACGTGTAAAAAAGGGCTGGAAAATATGTTGAAAAAAATACCAAAATACTTGTAGAATTGTCTTTAAAAACATCAAAGAAAAGCCCAGAATGAAGTCAATAAATGTTGGAAATACGTTGAAAAGAGACCAAAAAATCTGTTGAAAAAATTACAAAATACCTAAAACAAATGAATAGAAAGCCTTGTGAAAATGGAGAAGAGATTGCCTGGAGAATATGTTGAGAAAAAGGGCACAAAATGTAAAAAAAAAAAACCTTGTAAAATATATGAAGAATGTCAAAAAAGCCAGAAAATATTGAATATTTTTCGGAGACCTCGATATGAGGCGATGAGTTTAAATGTCCAGAGAAATTCACTTTGATATAAAACAGACTTTAGACGTCGTTAGTCTTCCTGTTTCTTTATTGGAAAGTTTTCAGAGCAGTAATGACTGACATTGGTCCCACACACACACACACACACACACTCACACACACAATTGACTAACTAAAAAAAAAAAAAAAAAAAAAAAAAGATTTGCCGGAGGGTCGATGAAATGAATCATGGGAAACGTTGAAGAGTAAAAAAAGGGTAAAAAGTTTTCTTGTGTCTAAAAGAAGTCGAGGTCGTCTGGAGCGTCGAGGTCCCGGTACTCGATGATCGATCGCGGGTCCCCACGAACACCCCTACACAAACACACACATTAATTTGTGTTCATTAAAGGAAATATAAAATAAATTGTAAAAATAAAGTGTTTTTTTTACGTACCTGTTGTTCCGTGGTTTCGGAGGGAATCCCCCCCCTCCCCCTCCTCCTCCTCCTAAATGACCCCTGAAGTTGTCATAGTTACCGCGCCCCGCCCCAAACTGGTTTGGGTTGTAGGGGGGGCCGCCACCTGCAACACACACAATAAATTAAATACACAAGAGACTTTCCCATTTCATTTTGTACACAACAAAAATGTTAACTCATGTTATAATAATTATAAAATATTTGTAGTAATTAAAAAAGGTTTAATAATAAATAATCGTAATTCTTTTAATCGAATTAAGTAACGGCAAAGTTCATTAGTTGGTTCATTTATATAAAGTTAACCCCTCTAAACTCTTATGTACACCAAAATATCCTTCATGGCAACATTTCACGGACGTTTCTTTAGTTTTTAACACCTTGAAAATCTAACTCAAGGACTTTCCAAAACGGTTTTATTTTTATTATATTTGGTAGTTTTAAAGAATCTCACAAAAAAAAGCACTTCTAATTTTTTGCTAAACAAACATTTTTGGGGGATTTTCAAGGAATATTTCCCACAAAGTCAAAAACAGCATATGACGATTTGAGTTTAATCAGGTTCAGATGTATTTATTATTTATTGATGAGACGTTAGCAGATGTTTTACTGCCGTCCCTGAACGTCTGTTTTTTCCCTTTTCAGGACAATTCTACATCATTTTGGTCTATTCTAAACTATGTGAGTATATGAGAGAGAGAGAGAGAGAGAGAGAGAGAGAGAGAGAGCGTGAGTGTGTGTGTAGTACCAGGGAAGCCGGGCATGGGGGGTCTGACTCCAGGAGGATATCCCAGAAGGCTTTGCTGCTGCGGAGACTGACCAGGAAATGATGTCATACCCTGAGAACCTAAAAGATGAGGAAAATATGTTTTTATTTATTTTTGTTTAAATTAGGTTTAGGTTTCCTACATTTCCCAGAATGCCGCTCACCTTGTGGCGGCGGGAGGGGCTTGTTCTCAGGGAGGGCGGGTCTCTTGGCGTCCAACAGGAAGTTGTTGAAGAAGACGACTTCCTGTCTGACGGCGGACACTTTGTCGCCGTGTTTGTTCAGGATGTGTTTACGCACAAACTCTGGGGCCTGAAACACAACAACAACAAAGAGTGTTACACACACACACACACACACACACACACACACACACACACACACACACACACACACACACACACACACACACACACACAACAAAGAGTATCACAGAGAAACACTCCGAAAACAATTCAGAGTAATACAAAAAAATCTTTGAATATTTCTAGGAAACATTTGAAATATTTTAGGTACAAAAAGTTTAAATATGTCTTTTTTAAATTTCCCCTAAATAATTTGAGTATTTCTAGGAAGGTTGAAAACTTGTAGGAAGAAGTTAAATATGTTGCGCCTCACCTTGAACTTCTTCCCGCTCAGAGGGCAGAGCCACTTGTCCTTGCTCAGCTCCTGAGAATTTGCCACCAGGAACTTCTCCACCTGGAAACACGACCATCGTTACAAACACATTATTTCACTGAATTTAAATCTGAATTTTTTTGACATGTTTCCTCTTCCAGCGTATTTCATACATTTTTCAAACGTTTTTTATACTTATTACATTTATTCCATATTTTAACACAATTCCCACATTTGATCTGGACATTTTTATAAAATGTCTAATGCACTGATAAAATCATTTCCCAAAAATGTTCTCCTGAAATGTTATAACTATTTTCAACAAAAAAAAGTGCTCATTTTTTTTGAGAGTATTTTTCAGAAATGTTAATACGGTTACATTTTCAGACTTTGTTTTTTTTTTTTGACATTTGCACATTTTTGGATATTTCTCAAATATGAGTTTATTTACTTTCTTTCCATATTTCAAACACATTCTGTTGACGTGTTTCCAACATGTCCTCTTCACATTCATATTTGTTATTCTTTTATTCTGTACCTCTTGTTCCGGGTCCTTCTTCCCCAGCTTGGCCGCCTCCTCTTCACTCAGAGACTCTGAGACCGAGAACAGGGGAGCCAGGCGCTCCTCACACATCTTCTGGTGCTCACTCACTAACAACAACAACAAATACAAAGAACATAAACAAACAAATTCAGCAGAAAGTCAACATTTCAATAAAAAAAAAAATATATATATGAAACATTTTATTTTAAAAAACGTACGATAAATGTATGCGTGTGTCAGTGAGTGTGTGTGTGAGTGTGAGAGAGAGTGTCTGTGTGTGAGTGCGCGTGAGTGAGTGAGTGAGTGTGTGTGTGTACCCTCTGCTGCAGTGATCTTGGCTGCAGGAACTGGTCCTCTCACATGAAGGAGTCCGCAGCGATGTGGCATCTCGTCCTCAGCCGGATACTCGCAGAAGTTATAATAATCCACGGAGTGAACGAGACGCAGGTAGAGCAGCAGGCGGTCCAACACCTGAACACACACACATTTAATCAACACCTTCACATGAGTGTTTCCTGCAAGAAACGTCTATTTTTTTATTTTTTTTATAATGGTATTTATTCGTATTCCCTGCGATGAGCTGATTATTCAATTTACATTTTTTCGATGTATTACAAAAGAAAATTCAAAACATTTTCAGATATCTTTTTAAACGTTTGGACATTTTCAGGAATTTCTCATTTATTTTTCTGACCTTTCCCACACGTTTAAGAGTTTCTCATATGTATGGAATTTCCCCCCCCAATATTTCTTATTTAGTTTCCTGCAATTTTGTGGAAATTAGTTTTAAAAAAAGTTATTATAAATATAATTTTCCAGCAAAAATGTTTTCCGAGTCAGTTTTTTTAATATGCATTTTGAATATTTTATAAATCCTTTCGAGGCAAAGTCAGACATTCTTTTCAGACCAACATTTCTTTTTGGGCATTTTTTTTTACCAACTTTTAGACATTTTTTACAAAGTCCATTTACTGAGTGATTAATGAAGGAAATATCCTGCAGATTAACCTGTACATAAAAGAACAATGGTGGGTTGCAGGCAGCCCTCCAAGAGAAACACACACACACACACCGTGATGAGCTTGTCGTCGGTCTCCACGGCGACCTCTGAGGAGGAGGCGGGGTCTTTGTCCTCCTCGTTCCCCCCCGACGCTCCGATAAGCTCCTCCTCCTCGGCGCTCACCTCCTCGATCAGGAAGTCCGTGATGTTCTTCAGAAACGGGTTCGTCTCCATCTGAGGATCGATTCAATATTATTTAACCTTTAAGATCCTTAAAGAACAAATACAGCAGCATCAACAAACTGAAATATCATTTAGTTATTTTATACTTTCACCAAATTCAATATTTTACTGAGACGTTTTTTAATTATTTTTCGACATTTTGTATAATTTTGTATTATTGTAAACCGTCTTTTAATATTTAAAAATAAAAAAACTTATATTAATGACATTTCTGTTCTCTTTGTATTTTCATATTAAATAATTGTATTTATTTGTAAATCTAATTTCAACACATTATTATTATATATAATTACATGTCCCTGCCACAGCGCCCCCTTCAGGTCGAGGCTGTGAATGAGTCTGGCTGACAGCCGGATGTCGTTCCTGACGACCGGGCGATGGTGCGTCAGGCCGTTAACGCAGCGAACGCGACGACACAGATCTCTGTTCACCACCGGAGACAACTCGCTGTCCCGCAGCTGAAACACAGCAAGCATGTATTTAAACATTCATCTGACAGCAGGAGATCTCCATCCACTTCCTGTTGCTCAGCGTGATTTTTAATGGGGGGAACATTCACCGACTCATTAAATACAAGTTAAAAAAGATGTAAAGAAAAAGTCTAAAAATACATACGAAGCATTAATAAAATGTGGAGAAGAGTTTTTACCCGGATGTTCTGCAGGTTCCAGCACGTCTCCTTTATGTTCACACTGCGATCGAACGTCACCCAGCAGCGCCGGAAGAACCTGACACACACACACACACACACACACACACACACACACACACACACACACACACACACACACACACACATTAAGGGTTAGTCTTGAAAATGTAATAAATGATGGTAACATCTTCATTGTTTTTTGTAATCATGAATTGAAAACTAGAGACATGTATGCCTGTGTAATGTGCAATTAAATAAAAACACATAAACACTCCTAATTATAATTTATAAACACTTTAACAACATGTCTCACCTCCTCTCAGGCTGAGGGTCGGACAGCGCCACCCGCAGGAAGCCTGGGTACCTGCGGCACAACTACAACAAGTATTTCTTGTTACAAATGAATCTGCACATAGTTTCTTTATTTTAAATATAAAGTTAAAGGAAATATAAAATAAAAAATATATGAAAAAATGTCATAAAAAAGAGAATAAAGAATATGAAATGTTTTGAGGAAAATTGACAGTAAAATGTACTAAAAGTCCCCAAAAAGTGAAAACTTACATAAAAGTCAAGAAAGGTGTGAAATATGATCGAAATTATAGATGCAGCTGTAGAGTGTGTGTGTCTGTGTCTGTGTCTGTGTCTGTGTGTGTGTGTGTGTGTGTGTGTGTGTGTGTGTGTGTGTGTGTGTGTGTGCTCACATTAGTGATGTCCTCTTTGGAGAACTCGGGGGGGATGCTCCTGATGAACAGGGAGGTGGTGAGGTGAAGGGGGCGGGGCTTAGCCGGCGCCTCCTTCTCTCGCTCCTTCCTGTCACCGCCGCGGTCCTTACGGTGCTCTGGGAAATATAAACAAGTGTGAGAAATATATTAAATATACGTGAAATCAAAAATGTGCTTAACATTTATGAAAACTCAGAGAATTTTGAAGAGAAATGTCCCAAAAAGAATCTGAAATATATAAAAAATGTGGAAAACGTATATGAAAACACGATGTATCAAAAATGTAAAAAATGTCCCAAAAGTATTTGATAAATATTGAAATGTGGAAAAAAAAAAAATCAACTAAATGTACTTGAAGAATGTAGAATGAAAAATAAGTTTTAAAAGTTGGAAAATTAAGTGAGAAATGTCCGTAAAAGTGCCCGGAGAAGAAATATTGTTAAAATGTACGAAACGTATGGAAAAACCTCCGAGACGGATCTGAAAGAAAAGTCTGAATATCAGACATTTCCTCAGAAACACCTGGAGGCCATGAGAAGTACTTTTATGACTGTACGAAACAAAAAACAAAGCATGTGGAAAAACCTGAAATCTTCTCTCACCGGTTTCTCCGTCCTCCTCCTCTTCTTCCTTCTCCTCCTCTTCCTCCTTCTCCTCGCCCTCAGAATTGGAGGATTCTGATTCGCTGCCCTCGCCGCTGTCCACGGACACGCTGCGCTTTCTCTTCCTGTCCTGAGAGGAAGGGGCGGGGTTAGCACCGTTAGCACCACACGTTAGCATCGATGCTAAACACGGGAAAATACTCACTTTCTTCTTCGTTGTTTTCTCCTCTCCCTCCTCCCCCTCTTCCTCCTCCTCCTCTTCATCGTCCTTTTTCTTCTCCTCCCCCTCTTCCTCCTCCTCCTCCTCCTCCTCTTCCTCCCCCTCTTCTCCCTCGTCTTTCTCCTTCTCCCCGTTCCGCTTCGCCTCCTTGTCACAGTCCTGAGGGTTTCAGGAATACAGATCAAACATCAGGATTACGTTTCAGGGGAATCTCTTAGATAAAAGCCTTAAAGTATAAGAAAGATGGAATGTGATAAATGTCAGAAAGATGTCAAAAGAATGCCCAAAATGTGTGTGAAGAATATTATTTTAAAAAAAGTCCACATTATGTAGGAAAGAAAATCCAAATGTCGTAAAAAAATAATAAATAATATGACAACATTCTCAAGAAATAAATACATTTTATTTTTATAAGAAACATTTCCAAATATAAGAAAAATGTCAACAACATTTTTTTCAATATAAAATGGATAGTGACTTCAAATAACAGTCCCAAAATTATATGGAAACTGTTTGTTTTTTAACACAACTGAAGAAAAAAAAATTTTTTAAATAAAAATGTCCTTAAAAATCCGAAAAAGGGCTGAAAATAATATGAGAAAAAATAAATACATTTTATTTTTTGCATTATATGACAAAATTACCACATTTTAAAAGAAAAATGTAAAAAAAAAAAAATTCATGTGGAAACTGTTTGGAAAAAATGTTTAAATATTGTCTGAAAAATGTCCTACGAAATATCCAAATATTAAATGAAGTGTTTTAAAAAGTAAAAAAAGTACCGTAATTTTCGGACTATAAGCCGCAGCAGCTAAATTGAATGATGTGTACATATATAAGCCGCACTGGACTATAAGCCGCAGGTGTTTTAATGTTTAATTACCATAAGGGTTCGTGCACAGAGGGGATTGTCGGGAAAGAGATGGCTGTTTGAGGAAGCTCCCATTTATTAACATTTCAACAAACAAGTTGCATATTTGCATAACGTATTCAAGTGTTAGCATTTAGTGCAATAGTAGCTACAGAACATGTGCTGTGTAAACTGTACTGTATCACATAGCGTTTCAGACACACAAACTTTTCAACTTTCAAACTTAAACGGTGCGCTCCCAGCGCACGTACCGGCAGTGATCTACAGCAGTGGTTTTCAACCAGTGGTACGGGGACAAACTGTCTCGCTCTCGTAATGTCTGTCTGTCTTGCTCTCGTTCTGTCTCTCGTACCACTCTCGGTTCCACTTGTACTTTTGCGCGCTACCTGTCTCACTCTTTTCCGGCCTCCAGCTTTTCC